ACCTCCATCGAATACAATGTATTTCTTTATTTAAATTGATTATTTGAATCTTACTATTGGTACTTATGGCTGTACTTTATTCGTATCTTTTAGCATTCATGTCTCCTATGCGAATTACCTTGAAGTTGCCTTAAGCCACAAGTATTATAAGCAGAGATGAATACTGACACGGGATATGTGTATGATAGGATGAACTGATCAATGGCGGTACAAAACATCAAAAAGGATGTCCAAACAATCAATATCAAAGAACAGAGGTACACCACTTTGCAAAGGCTAGGGGCTGCCTGAATTTAGTAGCTCAGTGATTAATGATATGGCTTTTCAAGAGAACGTTATTGGGTTGAAGTACCGGAGTGAATCGCCAAATATGGGAAGGGCCAGCGAAATATTAGCGAGCCATAGCAAAATCATCCGGAAGTTGAGTCGCTGAATATCGAACAGATAATCGTCAAGGTCTAGGATAATCAGCCTGCATAACTTGATCGTATGCCATTGACTGGCCCATGGGTTGGTGCTCCCACTATCTTCTCTATACTTATTCTTACTGATATATTTCCGTAATAACGTCCTTTTTTGTATGATCTTTAAAGCATCCATAGTACCTTGATACGACAAAGGGATAATCCACGTTAATTGCTGATCGCGATGTGCGATTTCGACGTTAGCTGTCAGGCCCCAATCATTCAGCATAGACCACCTAGTTAGTGATCTACAGGCACATCGAGCGGACGAGTCCCATACAGGAAGATTTGGATTGCACTGCTAGCAAGCATCCATCTCTGCGACTGATGAATTTATGTTACGGTTTTTTACGGTGTTAACAACTCAACTAAACTCAGCCACATTTAGGTTGGTTGGGTGTTTAACAGGTTTAAACAAAGTATAGCTTGATCAAGGAAAGAATTAACTTTTCTGATGTCTACCAATCACCAGAACGTTGAACGGGTATTCCGAATTACCGTGTTCAAGTTCATGATGCAGACATTCTCAAACAAACATCGAAATCAATCTCATTTTTCTTATATATTTCAATTGCTGTTAGGAACGTGACCATGGTTTTATTCATCTGGAAGCTACCTATATATTATAAAGTGCATTCACTAAAATTGTGAAATATTACGTATATCTTCTATATAGATTTCATCGCGCACGAGAAATTATAAGTGAAACAAAATTCGACACAACCTTAATTTTATGCGACATACAGATTAAAAAGGTTAGGAAAGTAACGTTATCCGTAAGATGATAGGGCAACATTTGGCCCCATAAAATGTATACATGTTTGAATTTCTACATACATTTTGCACGCACAAACACGGCACCATCTTGCTTGTAAACTGTCATGTCTCACGTAACAAACTGTTATTGAAGAATAAATTATTATCATCATGGTCTATGTAGATCGCTGTGGAATCGATAGTTCCTTCGGCGCTTACAATACTCGTGAAACCAACAAGTTATGGTTAATCCTTCGAAGATTAGAGTAGGTGTATATGTTATTAAAAATAATTTCGTCAGAGACCACTATGTTTCTATACCCAACGAAATTAATAAGACACCGGAATTAGAACGCGTAACTCGAACTATCAGTAAAATTCATACATTTAAACAAATTATGAGGACAACTTCACATACACATCGAGAAGGATTCACATGCCAATAAATATTGCTAAAAAATTTTGGACGAACTTCAGCTTAGCACATTCACACGCTGATTTTATATATACTGGATGTGAAATAAGAATGTCTAGACTCTGTGGGTATATACGAATGAATATTCAAGACATTTACAACAAAAAGCCTAGGAATGTCGAAAAAAATAATAAAACGTTTGAGTCTTTCAATAGCAGTTTGAGTCAAGACCATAGGTGCGAAATTGCAGAAGTGATGTCTTGGAACAGCTTGTAACTGTCTTAACATGTTTAGCCCACTAAGCTACGTGAATGGGTAGCCTAGTTAAGTAGAATTATGAAGGTATGTGCCATCTAGGCAGGACGTAGCAGACCTCGCATACCGAGACTTGATGTGACTATTTATTTATTCGAACACAAATATTGGTACAAGGGTGCACCAAATATATATGCACCACACAAAACAATGAGAATGGGGAGAAAAAGGTCTGGTACGTATAAGGAAAAAAAGAACAATAACGACCACAGATTAGTGTAAGGTAGTGTAATAGTAATAATAATAATAATAATAATAAGGTACAACCAGAATCCTTTCAGTTAAAGAAGATACAACCACTTTTTATGAAGAAAGTAAAAGAGGGTTACAGCAGGATCGCCATTGGCTTCTACTCTGAGGCATATCTGATAACGTCGCTAGCCACTGTGTCTCACCATCTCTTAGACCCCAGCCAGGGAGTCGTGAAGGACCAACGGAGGTCAGCCCCTTGCAGCTTTCTTTCATACCCCGACACCATGTCGCACACTGACCGCCTCTCCGCTTTTTCCAACCAGTCCCAGCGTCGGCAAACAATACACAACGTGGAATTCTCTGAGACGACATTCGTAGAACATGCCCAAGCCACCAATGTCAATGTTTCAAGATGGTGACACCAATTGGATTATCGTCTATGCGTCCGAACACACGATGCCGAACCTCCGCATTACTAACATGGTGTTGCCACTGGATGCCAGTAATCCTTCGGAGACAAAGATGATCAAACACAGAGAGTCGTCTAACATCCTCAACTCGGAGAGACCATGTTTCACATGCATAGAGCAGAACTGCTCTCACAGACGCGTTGTAGATCCGACCTTTTACAGCCAGACTGACATCACAAAGGCGCCAAAAGTGGCCCAGATTGGCATGAGATGCTCTGGCTTTCATTATACGTGAATCGATCTCATCACTCATGCCACCACCAGCACTTATGCAGCTACCTAGGTACACGGACTTCTCGACTACTTCTATTTGCTCACCATCCAGGGTGAGTGCAGGATTAGAATCCTGCCAGTCTTGTAGAATTACTTTGCACTTCGAAAGTGCAAAACACATACCTTACCTACGGATATTGATTGCTGACTGATTAAGTGCGGATTGCATGGCTTGGGCATTATCGAACAGTAAGACAATACCATCCGCATACTCAAGGTCGAGAAGTCTTTCTCCAGGCAACAGACCCACACCGCCATTACTTACATCCATCAGAGCTGTTTCCAGAACGTCATCGATGGCAAAATTGAAGAGGAATGGTGAGACTGGGCAACCATGTCTAACCCCATTGCTTGAGTGGAACAATGGAGAATGGTGGTTGCATGCCCTCACCCTACCTGAGGTGTTTGTATATAGGGCCTTCAAGATGTTAATGAACTTCTCAGGTACACCCTCCTTCAATAGACACTCCCAGAGAACAGTGCTGTCCAACGAATCGAAGGCAGCCTTGATGTCAAGAAACACCACGATTGTTGGCCAGTGATAAGTATGACGGTGTTCTAACATTTGGCGGAGAGTGAAGATATGATCAATACATCCTCGACCAGAGCGAAAACCAGCCTGCTCCTCAGGAGTCAATCTTTCTCGGGTTTTGAACAACCTACGAAGTATGGTGCAAGCCAATAGCTTGGACGCAATCTGAAGTAGACTTATCCCCCGATAGTTGTTACAGGAACGACGTGAACCCTTTTTAAAGATAGGGACAACTCATTCCATGACGTTGGTACCCTCTCTAGTTCTCAAACCTTTGTAAACAACACCGTCAGTTCCTTAGTCAGAAATTCACCACCATCTTTAGAAAGAGCCGGAGGCAAGTCGTCTGGGCCCGGTAATTTGTAGCGCTTCAACAGTTGGAGTTCCTTGCGGACTTCGACCTCCTTTGGTAGATCAGTCGTCACCGGCCATGAAGGGCAGGACAGTCTGACCGATGTTGCCGGAGCAACGGACCATTCGAACTGCCCTTCGAAGAATTCTGCCCATCGTCCAAGATGTTGATGGATGTTAGTGATTAGCATCCCGTCATCCTCACAGATTGTTTCGCTCACACCAGACTTCCTGCTGCCAGCGGCTCGGATGAGCTTCCAGTAGTTACCAGATGCAGCTGCTGCTTCCAACCCATTAGCATGCTCCGACCACCAGGTTTCTCAGTCCTTATGCAAGCTTTGTCCGATTTTATTACGTAAGAGCCTTTGTTTATGATCAAACTCACAGCCACCTGGAGTAGACCGACGGGCTTCGATGAGTTGTAAGGAGCCTGAAGAAACGGTGTGACTTAAAGACATGGGGGAGTGCTTTCATCTCATGAAGAATCGTAAGGAGAGTCAGCTACTTAACTTGACCCATGACTACATTGCCATCTGTCGAAGATAAGGAAGAATAGATAGCATATCAGTTGGGTACACCAAGAGGTTTTTAGTATAAACGGGTAAGGCAGGTGTTGTCAGAAAATTATTTTGGGAGATATTGAGAAAATGTACATGCTTAGGCCATTTAGAGCTAGGTTATTCGGGTTTGTAGGTGTACTAGTGAGTCCTCACAATCAAGCAGTTCATAATGGCTATTATGGGCCTTTCATTTTTGTTTGTTGCTCGATCAATTAAAATTTCCATTTGCGTATGGATTGTGGGGATTTGCCTGTGGAAAGAACGTTCTTTTTGTTGAGAGAAATTAGAGGCACCTAACAAGCTGAAAACTACAATTATCAATACCGTCCTTCTTACTAATTTTTTTTGGTACATATTTGAACTTTATTTATTCATAGTTTGACTCTAAACAGTTAGATCCTATCTTGTCTTGGTTTCTATTATGTTTCTGAAAATCTGAAGGTTAAAGCACTACGTATAACAAAGATGTATAAGTAAGACTAGGTAATGGAAACTTAGAAATTGTACCTGTTAATTTCTGGACGCTCATTATCAAAATGTTACAATTAAAACTGAGTATATTTAGAATATAATGGACGGGACCATCTTAAATCTGAATTGAGCTAACCATTTTTGGGTCTACACTGTTCAAATAAAACAAAAAATAACTCCCAGTGATAAAACAATACCTTAAAATGTGAAAGTGGATTTGAACAGCTTTATTAGTAGATCTAACAACATAAAAATGAATAAATATTAAACGAACCCAGTCAATGTATAATGATCAAGGATAATAAAATCGGTTAAGTAGATGATGACTTAAGGGTTAAATAAATAAGTAATAAGTATTAAATTATTTGGACTGTCCAGTAGACGGAATGGTTATAGCAGTTTAAAAGAATAATCACAACATTTATGAAGATAAATTTAAGTGAACACACATACACACGCAAAATAATAAAATTTAATTTTAATTGTCAACTACACTGCTGGAATGTTCGAAGGAGAATGGAACGAAAGGATAACCATCACCACTGTAGAATTTATTTTGAAATTCCACCCTGTTAAAAGATAAATAGTTCTAAAGTTTATTTTCACGAACAGTACCCTAAAATGAATACTTCATGTTCTTTTTTAAATAATAGAAAAAATACAGTGGGTACAGGTTAACATAATTGTAATTATAGTGACTGCAGATTATTTGCGTTTATTCTAGAATCACATATTAGACAGATCAATTACCTTGGTATAGACCATAAGGTTGAATAGTCAGTAATGTTCAACAATCTATTAGTCAGCGATATATTTGCGTTGGCTCAAACTGTTATACCACAGGACAGAACAAAACAAAGCTAACGAGAACAATTACAAAAGAGACCAAAATAACGTAGTAACAATGATAAAAATGGAGGGGCCGCAGATGCGAGCTAAATTTCTAAGACATTTGTGATCAAATACTAGTAACTTACAAGCATCTTCCACTCTTAATAGCCATGTTTTGCAGTTGTAAAGTAGAACAGAACGATCTGCTGCGCAGTATACTCGTTTTATCAATATGATACTGAATAACTGCTAACGAGCTTCATGAGCTACTGACGTCTTTGTTTTTGCCCTACATTCCTTACAACCTACACCAGAAAACACCGTTGGTTTAGGCAAGAAGTAGTTGGAAATATGCAGCACATACAAAACACAAAGATTCACTACCACATTAACGAATCTGTCATCTTTCCCAAGTATATAATGACTAACCTCAACATCGTTTACTTGGTTATTCCAAGGAATGTGAGCAATGCTTTAGAAGCAACCGCAGCGTACGTAAGTCTTCAAATTTAAAAGCAATGTTTCACATCAATGAAATAATACAGAGAGGGCTGCTGCCCAATATAATTGTCATTTGACCGGAAGGTGGATGTTTTACTTATCCCATATGCTACCAAAAGTCAATCGAGCTTACCGAATACGTGCAGAGATTTCATTTGATGAGACCTCTAAAAGAAGTGAAGTGATCCACTTACTCAAGTACTTTACCTATGATCACTAGTTCAAGAGTTGACGCAAATTAAGCGTGAGGAAAACTCTGTATTTAAAGGGGAAGAAGGGCATCACAAGCAAGCTCCTAATGTCGTTAAATTCAATCAAACAACTGATTTGACTAATGTTGTCTGAGTAGAGAACCTTTATACGACTTAAGTATACTCTTTGAGACGTCATTCAATGTCAGACAATGCCACAGGACCTTTCGATCAACACAGTTGAAGGTTGTATTGAAGGATAAATCGATACGATTATAGTTGAATATCAGTAAGTACGCTTAAGTTCTGAAATCTGACGAGGAATGAATATTCAGTTAATAAATCTATGTCCAGGTCCGAAACCAGTCTGATTTCTTCAGGTTCACTCTTAACGAGCTCTATCCAAACGTCAGATGATAATATTTCAGACATTATATCTGCCAAACCGATCCGTTCTTTAATCACACGTGGATTTTCGTCCTTTCTTCAAACTGGGACAATAGGAGAGTGAAACCAGTCAGACAGGAATAGCTTCAGCCCCCAAACAATACATAGGATCTTAGTCGGGTTAGTGGTTACACTTAGACCATCTTCCCTAAATATCTCTAGAGTTGATAGACCAGAGAATGGCGTTATTCATCGTATTAGACTAACTATAAACTTTTCAATATCACTAAGATTTGGAGGACTTATATCAATCATAATTACAAACCTGTTTATACGAAAAAATAATAATAAACAAGAGCTCTAAACGAAGTAATGAACTTACCAGTGGAGACGAAGTGTATGGAGAAAAGCAGATAATCCTTCCATGCACAAAAGAATACTGACGGTTAGTACAGCCCAGAATGCGAAAATAAATGCTAATACAACACCGCCATATAGACCAGATATACGTAAACCCATTCTCATAACCATACTCCAAAGGACTTCCGATAATTCTGAGCAAGAGGAGTTGAAAATAAAAATTTTCAAAATGTAATAATATCTTATACCAAACATACAAAGGAAGATAGATACAAATATAATGGCAAAATATCTGATTTTGGAAAAAAAGTAATAACGGCTACATTTCATACAAGCAAACAAGGTTTGGTGATGGACACAACTCCTTGTTTAAAAGAGTGCAAATTGGCAGTAATGTATGATGAACAGACCATTATCAAATAAAATTAGGTTGAAATTAAAGGTATCATTATGGAACCATGTGCACAAATTATAACAAAACAACGGAAATACCGAAAGAATTATGTAACCCATTGGGGTTAGCAATGAAGACAAGAAAATCAGATAACTGAACAAGCTTTAGATATAGTAACTTTAAAAATTTAAGAACAATAAAGGTACTTTTGTTACTTATTCATTAGGAAGTAAAATAGAAACCCTATTTTTGATGTATGTTCTACCATAGCCCTGAAAGTATTGGGACAGGGAACGGGTTCAATACAACACTAAGTAACTGTTACCATACCGGAAACAAACAGCCGAAAATTTAAGGTCTGCGGGTAAAAACAAGCTGCCGATTATGCTGGAATGTGACGACAGCAAATAGCTGCTCTTAAACAACTAGTGTCTCAGGTAATCCTGTCTTCCCACAGCGAAATGGTTTGGAAAAGGCAAGATCATAAATTAATGCATCTTCTTTCACAGCTTTTCATAGCAAACAATAAGGTCTGAAAAGAATGAAATTAAAATCATAAGTAGCTAACAAAAAAGGCCGTGTCCCCAGCAATAAACAGTTGTCTTTTGGACACACAGTCACATAACTAAATCAACAAGTCTGTTTTCGGATACCGTAAGAAATATCCTTTTACGATGTGAGCAACCGAGTAGTAATAACTGTCAACACACCAACAGCACTCTAGATAATCCTATTCACGATCAATATCTTCGTTACTTAATATTTATTCTATCTTTCATATCCGAAAATTCTTCTAAAGGGTCGCCTTTATCTCAATGAACCAACAATGCTCATGAAATGTTATTTGTAGTTCACTGCAAATGAGCTCTAAACTACGTAATGGAGCTTTCAATGTCCGAACAACACGCACAAGTATGAAGTCAAGTCCTAGAGTAGGACAGGTAACCCTGGATTGGCTTTCAGTCGAGTCACATGTGTGCGATCAAATCAAATAAAACACCAGGAGTTCGTAAGGATAATGATACAAACTATTTGCTATTTTTAATTTTCGCCTACGCTCCACTGACTGAAATTCGAACGAAGAAAAGAATGAATTTGACAAGTATATTGATCAACTTCAAGGAACCAAGCATACAAAAAATAATCGTAGCGGTTGAATATAATGCCAAAGTAGCCAGTGTAGATCATCCTGTAAAAATAATGAGGTGAGTCTCTCAACATCTTCGAACAGGGAACATATAATGTCAATCGTCTGCTGCAAGTTTGCTGAGAAAACGATTTATTCCTAGCAAGCACCAACCTTAACCATAAAGAGAAACATCTTATGACATAGCGCCCTCGAAATTCACATAAAGATAGGCTACCAGCTTGATAGAAGACTTTTGTTCGCTCTGGAGCAAATATTTAGACTATGATCACGATCTAGTGAAAACATGTTTCCCTGCGTCTTGTATGATGCGAAAAATCTACATCAAGGAGGTCCCTTAAGGTCTATTATTATAATGAAAAAGCCAAGAGTACATTTCAGAAGGAACTATGGAAGTAAAATTATGTTAACCTAAATGTAGGTTTACACGATAACCAAATAGCTGTGAAAACAGTAGTGATATCTACCAATGGCTTACACCAGTAGGTTAAAAAACATCAGTGGATCTTGGTGGATATACTGAAACCAGGAATCCTTGGTAACCTATTATTCTATCAGGCTCCAAATACGAGAGAGTAAAGGTAATTTGGAAGTAGGATGACAAAGAGTATACACAATAACCATGAGCAGTGGTAGGCAACGAAGGTAAGAGGTAACATTCAGATAAGCTTTAAAAAGTAAAGTGTTAGTGTTCGAAAAAGACAAGACTATGTATAACAATGAAAATTTTAAATGTACCACTTACGTGCATGTGCTAAACTCAAAGCCCATAGCCGAAGGTAAGAGGCTGTGTTGGAAATGCAACCTAAACAAAACTCAATTGTGTGAATGCTTTGATGAACCATTATATCTCCGAAATCAAACTGAAATACATGGAAATAAATGCAACATACCCATATAGTTATACACTCATTTAAAATAAAAAAACATAACATTTTAGGACAACAGATACAATAGTTACACAACAAAAATGGAAGGTGTTATTTCAAGTTAACGATACACACAATAACAACTACATGAAAAACCCTTCGCCAGCTTAGTTATATACTAGCCTGTGGCTTACTTCATGCTCTTATTATATAAAAAGGGTGGTATACAAATTTTAATCGTGAATCAATTAAATAAAAACTTAAACACAGAAGTTAAGTATTCGTTTCCTAATAAGGTAACCACTTATAATATTCCCAACAGGTTATACAGGCTATAAGATACAAGTGGAAATTTTATGCACGACAATAAGGATACATTCAAAAGTGACAACAACGTGAACACACAACACTTATTATCGGTTAGTGAACCGCAGTTAAGATACTTACAGACTCCACAGGCATATCCATCGAACCTATACCACTTCCATCTCCAAGACCATTGCCGTCTAATGCTATTTTTTCGGATGATTTAGTTGAAACATCAGGGTGAATGGCAGGGCCAAGAGCCTCATAAACGCATAATTTTTATTTGTTTTGTTGAATAAATTTTTTGGAGACGCATTAAATTTTTTAATAAATAGCAAAAACATGAAAGAGTTAGTAAAGAAATAGGAAGAAAAGTATTTTTTAAAAATTCTCACCTTATGAACATCATGACTACTTGGTGAATCTGTTTGACTAATTAATGAAACCTTAGAACGTTTTTCAGATGACGATCTATGTAGTGGAGACATGTCACTGTACATAATACCATTATTATCACCAATGAAACTATCATCCATATTTGGATTTGTTACACCACCAATGACCACATGCACACTTGCATCAGGATCCACATAATGTCTATTCTATTTCCACACAATAAGTTTAAGTGTTTTACAAAATAAAAAGAGCAAAGGTAAAAACAACGTATGCATATTAGTTACAATGAAAGTAAATTTCAAACAGCGTAGAATTGATAATTAAGCTAATGGATAATACTTGTTATGATACATTTTTCAGTAGGCCCAATTTAACTTAACAAAAATTGAACATTATACTATACTCTGTAAAATATCATTAAACTAGTACCGACCTAATGATATACAACCCTTGGAAATTCTCAAGTAATAATTACTTTCGTTTCATAAACATTCTGAATATGTTTAAAAAAGTAACTACAAATACAGTGAACACGCTCAAACGCACAACGTTGAGGATCTGAATAATAAATAAATAATACTGATCAGTTTGCAACTAAGCACTACATTAAACGTAGTCAATTTGCTGAATACCGATATGAATTGATGTGAAAGGTCTAGATCGGTGGATTACTATTTATTTATAGGTCGCACACACGCACGCTACTTGATATATGAAGGTAAAACCGAATTCATAAGATTGAGATGAAAAAACAAAAACAAAATAAAACCAGTATTGTAGATATGAAGTGACTAGATAATTGAACCATTTACAACACGATATTAGAAAATAACGGATTCCCTATCGATAGTTGTTTACCAAGATTTAATCGGATTCAAGAAAATGCTGTGAACACTGTCGTCAACATATACAGCGGAAATAGAGAATGAGAAACAAAGATTAAAAATAAAATTCTAAAAGGTGACATCCTTCTAACAAAGTATAACAAATAATAAAAAATGTTTGCAGACAAAATCGTATCCTTATAATTTGAAAATAAGTCAATCAGGATTCCCACTATACATAGATAGGTGGATAATACGATTAACACAAAACAGATAAACTTAATTACCTTCATGATGGCACGATGACGCATATACAAAATTAGGGGTTTAGACAACAACATCCAAGGAACACATATAACTGCAATAACCATCAATATACTTTGAACAGCTTTCTAAAATTAAGAGTAAAACGTACTGGGATAGAAAAAAGGAACAAAATCATGTTTATATGATCAACACTTAAACAATCTAAGATTAGAACAACACATGTAAGCGAACAATTGTCTTGAATTAGATCGTCATCAGACTTTAATCTAATATACATGAATATTTATATGAAATTGTTAAATCAATCAAGGTAACTTAGGTTAATAATCACACAATGAAATAGAATAAGTCACCACACATAATAGGTAAAAGTACAAGTTTATAGTAGTAGGAAGACAGGTGTACTGATAGCAGTAAGAATAATAAAATATGATAACAAAAGACATATCAGTAGTTAAACATTGCAAATAGGTCAAACGTGGGTAAATGACATAACAATCACTTTATTATAAAATAACACGACATTCTTCATATGCATGCATTTCCACAATCTAAAAACATCTGATTTAACTGATTATTTTATTTTTATATGTTTGTACAATTTATTTAACACTCATCCAACATTAATGGTCTATTAAATGAGTCACAAAAATTTTATTAATTAATTTGCTCTTCATTTTTTCTATTTGGAACTTTGACAGCTTTAATATTCATTAAATCAAGAATGAATTTCACGGTTCTTAACACACAAAAATACTTTATGAATGAAATGCCAAACCTGTCGTTTTATGTCTTACTCATGTAGACGGTTTATTGTACAATTTTTTGATAACATCTCAACTGTACAGTGACTAATAGAGAGTTTATGGTAGACAATCCTATACATTACTAAAAAGATATATATTTAAGTAATTGTCTTGACCATACTATTTTTCATGGTTCACTATAAAATGTAATAAGTAATTAAAGAGGAAGAATATATTTGTAAAATTTCAGCGAAAGAACGTTTTTACGAAACGATTTGATGAAACAAGCATCTAAATAACCATTCGGTTATAAGGGTTTAAATCTCCCTGTCGATGATATTAGGGACTGCAAGTTATGTCATTTTTGGTATAAACGAACCCTGAGCGGATTACTTTCACACTGCGATCAGTTAAAAGTATTTTCAAGCAGACATAGGAGGATTCGAAACCTTAAAAATGAATTATAATTCTTCCATGTTATATAAGCCAGTGGCTCAGTAACTAGTTGTGAAACACATGAGTAATTGAAGTGAAACGGACTGAGTTCAAGCACTGGGAGTGAGAGTCAACATTGAAACGAAGGTTCACTCCGCTGGTGAGTCCCACGCAGGGACGAAACCCACGTCCTAAGTCTCACCACCAACTACTATTTATCCCTGTTTATAAATTGGCATTGTTCTAAATCTGCGATTCTCGGTATACAACTCAACGCCCTAGTTAGTTATTGAGCGTAAACTGATGTTCAAGTTAAAAGTAACTAACATTCACAATAATATCTCAAATAGCGAAGTAAGAATTTCGCGCTGTTTGGAACTCATCTTCTAGGTTTACAAACACAGTAGTGAAACTAGTGAATGGTAATTTCTTTGATCTTTAATTTAAATTACATATGAACATAAATTCCATAAACGTACTTGTTATGAAATGTGAGATTATCTGGGATGTAAACTACAATGATGTACCAGGTACTGAATACTAGGTATGAAACTGTTAACTAACAGAATTATCAGTCATTATCGACTGGTTGTTATGATCCACTAAAAGTGTTAGCGATATATTCAATAATTAAACCCGAGATCACAAAAAAAAACAGAAATCTAACCTGTCCAGAATACAATGGAGGAATTTCATCCGAATAACTGAAACGGATCATATTGATCAATCCTGAGAAAATACAATTTAAAAGATATAGAAATATTTTTTAAAATAGGATCGGATATTCCAAATGAAGAATGACGAGTCAAAAGCTAACGCAGTACATAAAACTATCCGTAGGCAGTATTTTCAATAAGAGTCGTAACAAAAGTACCAATTAAACTCCATGATGGCACATATATTTTCTCTAAATGCTAATAAACCGGTCTTTAAATCAATCATGTATTACTGTAAGTATCATATCTAAACAAATGTAACTAAACAGATTAAATGTTGAACAAAGATCAAAATAAAACACTATGTAATACCAATAGAGAAACAACAAAATTATCGAATGTCTTGTTATCAAAGTGCATTCGGTAAGACGATAAACCTGAAGAAATCAAATCCTGAATGATAAGCAAGTGAATATCAATGGTGGTCGAACATTGATCGGTTCGTGATTTCAATGAATAGCAGAAGATTAGACCACTAACACATCGATTAAACTACAGGACAAATAATTTCATATACAAGCAAAAACATAAAAAAGGTTAATTATACATAGTAATAAAAAAGACGGCAACAAACAACCAATAATCATTGCATCAGTTAGTATGAAGAAAAACTCAATGCTTATTTTGTTTGTGGTGATGTTTTCCAGATATTATGAATAACTTTCCACATAATAGTAGAGCTTTTTTATCCGAAAAATTCAGAGAACTTACCAATAAGAAGACTTGGTGCAGAGGAGGCCGTTTCCGCCGTATACGCAACCCATTTGAAAAAGATTAACATCACCAAATAGAGGAAGATGCATGACAGGAAAAGGATTTGAGGAAGTAGTAAGCACCAAATCGATAAGTTATCTTTATTATTTCTAAGAGAATAAAAATAAATTAAGGTAAGTACGACAACGAAAAACACTATAGAAAGAGAATACAAAAACCACTGAAGTGGATATCCAACATATGTAAAAACTAATAACAAAGTAAAATAATGAAAAAGGAAAATAATTTCTTTATTAACAGACAAAATTTATCTCCGGGGAAGGTCTGAAAAATTCAAAAATCAGAAGCAACTAAACTTTCACTGAGTTAGGTTTGAAAGAAAACATATTCTTCACATTGTCTGAATTAGATGAATACCTTTTAATTTATTCTGAGCACTCGAAATGAATAGGAAAGTGAAAGGTGGCAAAGTGAAGCAAGCTAATTACTTAAATTAAACAAAATAAATATCTTTAAAAAGAACGAAAACCGAATATATATAAACTATTAACGCGAACGTTGAGTGATAAAAGCAGCAACTTTGATATCTCAATGCCACATTAGATGAGAACTGAAGCAAAACAAAAGTAGGATACGATCATCACATTTGTTTGATATTCAATAGAACAAACTTCTAATGAAAATGATGTAACGATAAAAATGAAAGAGCTACTATGAATAACAGTTGATATAAAGATCGTCTCTTAAGACATGTACTATAGGAAACATGGAGAACAAAATCATAAAGAGAATTTACCTGTAATTGAAAGCACCTAAACTAATGCCCAATAGCATGTGTAATACTCCCAGTACGACAGACATCTTCATCTTGATTGAATTTGTCAACATGATTTTATTACCAGATAACTGCCATACAGGATCTAGACCAAAAGGATAAGGATATCCGGCATACATTCGGTCCGACACATTAACGCTTGTTCGAGGTTCTAACTGGAGTCTAACTTCCTTTGATAAAGCACTATTATCATAAGTTGGATACCATGAGGACCCGAAAATGTTAGCAGATAGAGAGAATATATCGTTGTATATCAATCCAGTATAAATTGAAAACAGACCCATAAGAAGTATAATATAACGACCATTGAAAAATATATTCCAAATCTCACCTCCGGACTTATTAGCCTAAAAACATATTAAAAGTAAAAAAGGTAACAGCAATGAGTAACGCTACACTGAAACAACACTATCTTTCATTCACAGTTTGTCTTTCATTTCTTTTCTACATATTAACTCATTATGGAATGCCTGATTTCCATAGTGTGCTGTGATTATGGCCAGTACATATTTGTACGAAATTTCCCTAAAGTACACATAGAACGGTGAGCCTACTATAATACAAAAGAAACCTAAAAATTCATTATCGTATAGTGGACACGTTGAAGATTAAGTTTTACAACATTGAAATGACAAGACAAGCTGAAAATTGATATAATTAAGTGGTTCATATATTTGCTTTTAACCATCTGATCATAAGTTTGAATATTATTTATCCTCAAAGAATAAACCTGATGTGAAATCAAGTTTGTACATGGTTATCGATTTACATGGAGAGTTAACTAAAACTTAGTTTATAGATGTAAGTGTTGACTAAAGGAGTCTGAAAAGGATTCCGTCATTAGTCCCTATCCACCTCACGAATTACATATACCGAATTGTCACCGACCATGATTTGCAATGTATGTTGATATATTATGTAGGAAACAATCCGTGGATTGTAAAACCAGGGAATCCCGCAAGTCGAAAAAGTCACTGACTGATTTCGAAGTATGTAACAGGATGAAGAGTATTCTCAATGGATTCTTTTGAATAATAGAAATTAATGAAAACTCTAAGTGATACATTTCCGAACCATTGAGTTTTGATATTAATTTCCTTAACATTTTATTATCACTCATTGTTTAGTGCTTTTTATACCTTTCGACACTTGAATAGTTGTGTTGCACTATAATCCTATTTCGCATCGGAATGACTGAAAAAGTGTGTAACAAATAGTGAATCAGGAAACGGCCTTTTGTATCATTCTGATTAATTGGTATTGTTCTAGTAGTTTTCCATGTACATGATTTCTATTAATACAATAATCTGATAATATACAGGTCTTGATTAGTAAAGCATTTAAAACTAAGGATATTTATTTAATAATATTAATGTAAGGTGTACGCAATTAAAACATTTGATGAAGTTTGATATAAGGTCTGAAGTCATATTTCAATCCACAGGGTGCATGACACATAGAGAAATCATTCAGGTAAATAGAAAAGTGTGCTTGCATTATTAGTAAGATACACAGGAAATGACTTCGACATACAAACAAATGAATTTTTAATTATGTAACATAATGTTATCAACCAAAAAGTGATGCGTTTATCGATTTATTTAAGGTTAATGAATTTAGCATAAGTTTAAGTATACACTATTTAAAAGATATATGAAAATTAGTTTGCAAGCTAGTTAGCAAGAAACAAAGTTTACAAAATGAGTTGTGTGAACTTTAATAAATAATAGTATTAGATTTTAAAAAGCTTTAATTCTGAACCAAACTTACGCTTAATTTTCGCTCACATACAACCATCCACAAAGCGAAAAGAAACATAAGCAATCCATGACCAGCATCTCCAAACATTACAGCAAACAGGAATGGGAATGTGATAACCGTGAACAGAGCTGGATTGACTTCTCGATAACGTGCGACTCCGTAAGCATCAATGATGCTTTGAAAAGCATAGGTGAATTTATTTGTTCGATGGTATGTTGGAGGATTTTCCGTAGTTACTATTCCATTTAAAATCGGTTGTAGAGTACTATTGCTGCGTTCCATACCACGACGTAAAGCTAAATTAATTTTGTCCACATCATTCACTGCACACCAGCATTCCCCAACCATACATTTCGTAGTTACATCAAGGTTGAACAAATTTAAAGTATGATAGATAGCTTTGATTTTCCTAACCCTTATAAACCAGGTACGTAAATTTTTAGCGGCTGTTTCTAAAATACGTTGACGATGCTGCCTAGTTTGCGTTAGCACTGTTTCTAAATCTTGGATCTGACCCATCACTTCAATGGCCATATTACGTCGATCAGCTTGTGAATCTGGGCAAGGATATAGGGTTGCATGGAATCTGGAGAAAAAAGTAAATCACGCATTAACATTGATTAACATGAAATTTCATTACAGAAACGATAGACGTAGAACTTTAATCTACACAGTGAATACATATTCATTTACGTATGTTTATAGCTCAAATTTATTATGTCCATAATAAATGAAGATTAATGCAGCAATCAAAACTAATATTCAACTTGAACAGAAAAACACCAGATCACCACATACAATACATTTTAATTGGAATAGGGAAAGTCATGAACAATAACTTAAATGAAGGCAGATTAATATCTGAATTCCATTCAATCAAGTTACATTTTTTCATGTTGTGAAAGTCAAAAGTAAAAGTATCATTATGTTAAAAGTACATAAAGACAAGCGTAAAGATCTCAACAGTACTAAACGCAAAGTGACGAAAGTATATATATATATATATATATACTTTCGTCACTCAAAAAATAAACTATGTTGTGGTATAGATTACAAAATTATAGTTTTGGATTATATCAACGTTGGGCTTAGTACTGTTGAGATCTTTACGCTTGTCTTTATGTACTTTTAACACAATCGATTATATCACCCAGAGGTTTGCATGAATGAAATGAGGAGTTATTAAACACTTCATAGTCACACCACTTGTTTTGGCGGATGTTGAGAACATACCACATGAAAAAGGCTAAAGTAATGATGGGATCAATAACATTATTTCCTAGTGTTAATATCGATAACGGATTATAGTATCTGCGATCCTATTGCTTATACTTCGGAACGGGAACCACAGGGAATCCTATAACAAGTGAAAGCAGCAAAAGCGGACGAAGTTAGACCAAATACACTCATTAACACACTGATTTTACACATCTGATGATTAGTCAATAGGGACCATATAAATGAAAAGATATACAGGTTTACTGTTTTGAACTCATCGATGAAAGGGTTAAAAAACGATAACAGAGATTTCTAACAAGAAAATATATGTGATTCATGACTCCCATTTTCATCAGAATCAGAAATCATACATGAAATGTGTGTGTTGGCAAAGACTTCGTAGTGTGGCAAGGACAAACGGAAATGATATTCAAAGAAAGTGAATCAGTAGGCCTCAACATACACAAAGGAAAAACCAAGATACTCAAATACAGCACGGAGAACACCAAACCAGTCACACTTGATGGAGAAGCTCTGGAAGAAGTGGAAACTTTCACGTACCTGGACAGCATTACCGATGAACCAGGAGGACCGGATGCGGACGTAAAGGAGAGGATTGGCAAAGCAAGGACAGTATTCCTACAGTTGAAGAACGTACGGAACTCAAAACAATTGTCAACCAATATCAAAGTCAGATTCTTCAAACGAACGTCGAGACACTTCTACTCTAGGGAGTTGAAACTTGGAGTATTACTACTGCCATCATCAAAAATGTACAAGTATTTATAAACAATTTTCTACACATGATATTCTTCGTTCGTTGACCGGATACCATAAGCAACAGCCTACTTTGGGAGAGAACAAACCAGCTCCCAACTGAAGAGGAAATTAGGAAAAGACGTTGGAAGTGGATAAGACATAGATTGCGGAAATCATCAAACTGCATCATGAGACAAGCGCTAACTTGGAATCCTGAAGGGAAGCGGAAAAGAGGAAGACCAAAGAACACATTACGTCGGGAAACGGAAGCAGATATGAAAAGGATGAATAACAACTGGAAAGTACTGCGCAGGACAGGGTTGGATGGAGAGTGCTGATGTGCGGCCTACGCTCCTCCACGAGTAACAGGCGTAATTAAGTAAGCACACAATATATTCAACCTGGCACACTCGTCAGATTGGGAACGACTATTTACGCCGAGCGGCTTCAAAGTGAGGTTAGAAGTGTTCCAGCAGGCTAGTCTTCTAGATAAGTATTGTGTATATTTTCATGAATGAAATGAGAAGTTATTAAACACTTCGAAGTCACACCACTTGCCTTGGTGGATGTTGAGAACATCACTTGAATAAAGATAATGATTGTTGACGATTTTTTCTTCTCAATTTCCGACCAAATTATTTAACTACTCGTGACCTGGATGTAGTTACCTAGTTTTGATAAAACGTACAAAATCAACGATGAGAGTCTGTTTTAATATCAAAATGTGCCACTCAGCATAAATCTTTTGTGTTCATCTGTTGAATAATTTCTGCCTTAATATTCAGCCAGTCAAATGCAGCATAGAAACTGGTATATGTGCACATCAGTTTGAGTTCTCGAGGAGTCAACTAATGAAAGAAATGTGCCCAGGATGGTTATAGATGACTTACTCCCAGCAGCTGCAACAATAACGGAAGTTTATCCGAACTCGTATAACCTTTCATGATGAGTACACCTAAACTACAACATCATTAAAAGGATATGTTACTCAATGAATTATCTTCAACTTTACATAAAACTGTAGAGGCTGCGATTGGAGGTTATTCAGTTGTTCTTCCGTTTGATGTACATGAAAAACGTAAACAAGTAAACAGAATACTTTTTAACTGTCTTATACTTTTTGAACTTATCACTGACAGAGCCACGAACGCATCGATTTATTGTTATCTGCTACCAATTATTACTAAAACAACATGAATGGTTAAATGCATTGCTGACAGCTAACCAATCTATTGGACAATTAAATACCAAGTTTGTGGAAGTCGATGCACCGGATCCCACGAAGTGGCAAGAAGCATTCCCGTTTTCAGTGTGCTTTATACACTTCATGGACTAGATACAATCTCGAGTTTAAAAATACTTTACAAACTGCAGTGACAAAACTACGACCGAACATCAAACTACATTTTTTGTTTAGAAGAAGCACTGATACTTGCAGCGTGTTAGTTATTGAACCATCATCTACATCTACCCATAACAGAGGTCACTACATCTGTCAATATGTCCAACGTTATTAATACTACAGAAACTTTCAGTGTATCATATGATCCGCTAAACTGCCTTTCCCTCTTCGAGACAGAATATGGATAATAATAAATGGAGATGTATGAAATTACAATTATCAAATGAACGTGGATATGGGTTTTACACCAATTCATCGAAAAGAGAAACAAGTAACATTGATCAACTAGAAAGAGTTCTGTGGCAAGGACGACAAAGATAACGGAAAAAGTACCTCTCCAGGGCAACTTACGACCCAATTTACAGGTTTAATTAAATCATTTTACATGACTAGACATTTAGTTACATCTACATGCGATTGGTAATAATAAAAGTATTCTTACATTTAATATCACTATTGAATACTGACGAGTATTGACATAAGCATATCTTGTTTATTAGTTGAAGGACAATCATTACTGGTTTACCTTTTTCATTGATTAAGCAGATTTGATGTTTCACGAAAATTGAATCAGCTAATAGTTTTTTGAATGGAATGATTTTCGAATGTAAGAACTATTAGTGTCAGCATTTAATTAGAAGTACTTAACACTACATGGATTTTTAAGTAATCAGATTACAGTAATAAATTATCTAGTCAACTAAATAATTCAAAAACATGAAGTGTGTACCTGAACACAGCGAGAATTCGTTTTCAAACAAATCAGCCAATTATTTTCTCAAATATCTACAATTGCTCCCTTAGAATTTATCAGTAGGGATCAAAAACTTTAATTCCTGAGGCCTTATTGTCAAACCTAGGTTTTGATGGCTTTTAGCTGTCAATCCTTAATGAAAATTATCTTTAAAAATAACTGTTCATTCATACATTCTATTTTGTCAGCAAGCTCTTACATTAAAAATTGTATTAGATCAACAGACAACTTCTTTGTAAGGTGAATCGAAAATACTGAGGTTTGAGAACGAAATCTGGTATTATAGTAAACAAAATAAAACATTATTGGTTTAAGCTTGAAAGCAATTAGCAATCGGAATCCCTTGATTGTTCAAAACAATGAAATCTCGTAAAAGGCATACAATACGTCAGCTTAACTTATTTCGCTAAGATGATATTTGAACGCTAAGCTGACTTGGTTTTATACAAAAAACAAAAGACTAAAAACTTTCAAATCACTTAAAAGGACGATTTTTGTCGAAAAATTGCCTATTGTTCTGAATATGTGACAGGTTCTTCCACATTAGTCTTGTGTATAGTGACAGGGGCAACTGCGATATATACATACGACGCCGCGAGGACGAAATACTTTGTAAACCTAATTTCTATTGTTTATGGGGAAGATGAATGCTGAAATATATTCGGCAACTCATATTAGTAATTCAACCGTAGTATCTGAAGGGAACAGATAGACCACATAAAAAATTCGTAAAGTGATTTACATAATTTGTAGAACTCAAATATCTAAAACTTAGACTTAGTATCGTTTCCGTGTCATTATCTCGTAATTTTTGTGGTCACTGCAACACACAAGCAAGTGCAAACAATCAGCTTTCTTGAACCGGTACAAATACTAATGAAGAAGTAATCATATTAATATTTAGACTAGAAGCGGCTAAAGTTATTACATAGACGTTAGTAAGTCCTGAAACTTACCCGTCGCATATCTTTTTAACACGAGTTCGAAGCTGATCACCCTGAAAGAATACCAAGAATACGGATTTGTGGACTGGCATACCCTGCAAAAGACAAACATAAGCAAAACCACACCTGAACATAATGTCTAAGGACAAGTTTAGCACGCTAAGAACTTACTAGAACATAGAAACAAGCCTAGTTCAGCAAAAAGGTCATCTCTCAATGAATGTATTCTTGAAAAGGCGAAACTATAATCTATGGACGACCTTTGAGTGACGCCGAAGTGACCTTGAGAATGGACATCTACTTATTAGGACTAAGCGAGCGTTATAAAGCAGTTAGAATTCTCATTTACAATTGATTAAGGTTAATAATTAGATTTAGGATTTTTATCACGAACTTACATCAGCTATAATGCCAAAACTCTATCTAGCCAAATGTATGGATGAATTTAGCGCCGAAATTCGTGACTCGTTATCTTATATCTGATTGGTCCGTCCATAAACTATAGTCTCGCCGATTAGGTCTAACAGTCAAATCTTAATCGATTGGGAAATAAGTGACCTAAAAGCTAATTTCCTTCAATCGCCTATGACATTTTTTCATGTTTCTTTTGTGTTCAGATTTTGTACATAAGAATGTTACTTTATTATATGAAAAATTGCTCACATGACTGGCGGTCTTGCATTTGATGTTTAATTATTCAAATATTCAAGTCAATAATACGGTCTCGTGAGTAGCCATCACTCGGCCACATTGTATGATTGCGTTCATATACCGATTAGAATCCTATTCACTGACTTAAACAACGCGAAATTTCGCCTAATCAAACCACATAAAACTTTAGATTCATAACACAATCTATTTTATTTTTGATAGAGATAATAATAAGAACGGAATAAGAAATTTCAGATGTATAAGTTCATCTACGCTCCAATTTATATGAAATTTGTTTAAAAAACTTAATATGTACTTGCATTTATAATTTCTAAGATTCTTATTGTTTTTCCTGAAAAGGCGATAGATGATTTGTGCTAAGAATATGAACCGAACATTCGTGCACTGTAAAAAGTTGCAACACCTTACCCACAAAGTAACACTTAGAAATTGAAAATCACAGGCATCTGAGATCTCTTTCGCATACTAGACAAAAATGTGTAATAAACTATAGGTTAAAATCCAATAAACTATTCTTATTAGTAACTTCATGAAGTTCATAAAACTTTCTGAACCAGCTACAAAATTAGTAATCTTGATGCTTAATTCATGCCACCTAATGAGACATACAACTGTAAGATATGGACAAAGGTGTCACGATCGAAATCATTTCTATTCACATTAGTGTGGCGCATATATATTGGCGCTCTCTTGTACCAATATTTATGTGTTCAAATAAATAAATAAATAAAATTCACATTAGCACACCGAGAGGAAATTGACAAGATGAAAGTCAAATTTAAACTCATATATATGTACAAACGTACAGCAGTTATCACTGTTGCCAGAAATCCATCCCTAAAAAGTATTTAGACACAAAGAACAAAGTACTAATTTATGACTGTGAGCTACAGTAGCCTGAGAAAACGCCTTAATGCAGATTGAGTCGGAAAACCAAAAATGGATGGGAAAATTTTTTTAACCTTATGTGGTCCATAAATCGTTAAATATATGCAACATTTCCAGTTCTCATATCGATGGATAACACAAAACTCAAGAAATGAAACCCATCGCAGCAAATAAATATTTTTTGCAGAAAGCAACGGGTCATATACTGCTCACAAAAAACATCCACTTATGTGCGATAAGCTAACAACTTTGTTACTGAAACATGAATATTAATACTTGGACAATGTTGTCATGGTAGAATGTAAAGGTTTACGACATATGCTTTCCTAACTCTTATGGCAGAAATTAATCACTAAATTTTTGTTAGAAAACCCATCGATATAACTACGTATTGCTTTACTCACCGTTGTAAGATCTTCTAATGGGTCATCAACTTCTGCTTGCTTAAGGAAAACATTTCCTCGACACACCCGCCACAGCATACGCTCGAAAGCCGGTAACCGTTCACGAAGGATAATCCCAGCAAGAAACCTAATTTTGAAAAAGTTTATTTGTTATTTGTAAGTTATAATCGTGATTTGTTTGAAAGCTACTGTGCGAAACATGGTTATGTGAATAGAAAAACTAGAAATCCAAGAGGTGGAATTTCTGGACAAGAACTAACAGACCTATTTGCCATAACGATTTTCAATCATTCCCAAGGCCTCATCTAAACAAATGGGATACCTCAGACGACTTTCATGAAATCTTGACCCACTTCTGAAATAATCCCCAATAATGTCTTTCGAATTCGTAGTTAGAGACCATTTACTTCTTCCTTACATATAATTTCGTTATATTTTATTACTTTTAATTTGATTCGAATTCACCAAATGTAATAACAGGGAAGGAAGGGGACAGGGTGACTGAAAACTCGAAATGTGACAGTTTAATAATGGGTTTATTCCCATGTAATCGCTATAGAACTATTCTACGAAATGTAAAATGGAGTGAGATGGGGGCAGCGTAACAATCGTAAGGAAGGTTTGAATAATTTACACATATTTCGAAAAACGAGCAAGGAATACATGATTAATTCGTGAGTACTAGGGAGTGCATGAGGTAACGAATGGCTGAAATTTCAACAAAAATAAATCAATAGGGCAATTAGAAAACCAAATTACTATAATATTGCTTAGTAACTAATTTAAAAAATAGAGGATGTGATTCAAACCAATTTGATTTAAGGATCATGGACCTTTTAAGACCAATGGTTTTCAAAATATGCTCAAAAATGAGTACATACACCCTCGCTTTTGCTGTTTCAATATTTTGGAAAATGAATTTGGAGATAATAGAGAATTTTGAGATATTTTAGACGGCAATCCGTTTCGTGGATAGTGACAATTTGAACTACAAAATAGGTAATCTTTAGTGGTATTTATTTTCTCCAGATTGACTGATCTCATAACCCCTAAAACCAAGGTGCAAAGAGTACACATATTTTAGTTATACCAGCTTTGAAGTAGAAAACATGTATATAAGAATACTTACTCTCCATAGGATAAATCGGCGACTAGTTCCAATGGTTATATGTGGACTTAGGGCTGACAATCGAGTTTTCGGGCCTAGGGATACACAGTGGATAATTTCTAGAAATGTTTTGTGTTACCACTGTAGTTTAATTTTATGGTCTAGTTTCTCTTTGCTCATAATCAATATAACGAACACTCTTAGTATTACTTTAACTAGTTCAGTTTGTAAAAAATCTAAACACACAGCTCAAGTGATGCACTAACGTATCGGTCCACAAAATTGACCAAGCATATAACCATACTTGTTTTCACAAGTGTTTGTATTTTAACTACTGAATTGGTATTTCTAAGGCCGGACACAAAAATTAACGTACAGTGTGTAAATTGATAGATAAGATTGTTAAATGAAATTGATTAGATGAGATATAGGAAACAAACCATAAATCAACAAAGCATTTGTGATCATTAGTAGGGAGTTACATTCAATAGGTTCCCAGAGTCGATAGGTGATTTCCGGGATTTGTATACTCACTCTACATGACGTTTGTTACTGTTAGTATGAACTGTAACATCCCTTTCCGAATAATTATGATTGGGATCATTCGTTGGGTTTAAGTCTAGATGAGATTCTACGTTGGCCTAAAAATCACAAACAGATTAATAAGCAAAATATACATAACGCGAATATAGAAGCTGTAACTTACCCCAATCGTAATCCACCAGCAGTGCCAGCAGCACCCATTGCTTCACCGCCAAGGAGTCCAACATTTTCTTCTGACATTGCAGGATCGTGCAGGGCCTGTTCGCGATTCAGTCGACGAAGGGGCAAATCATTGGAAGGTATGGTCAGACGTTCAATCGGTAAATCTTGGCACTAATTTATTCACAGCAGTGACAACACCGAAGTCGGACAAACCGACAAAAGGACCAGACAACGGCTGAGGCAATTAGGTATAACCACATGCAATACAAGGAAAAGAGCAACGGACAACTTGCCGATGTCTAAGGAAGCCTACGCCTGAGTGTGAATGCTAACCGTAACAATTTAGTCACGCTCAACAACGCCGCAAAGGTGATCAACTGTGTGACAATTAAGGATACCACACGGTTTTAGTTTGAAACCATAATTGGTAGTCTATACTAAACTCAGGCCTGACATATTCTTAACCATTACAACCTTGAACAGATATTGTTTACTTTCTTCAGTTATAAACGAGCAATGGCTAGATTGTCATCATGGCAGGTATAGCGTAAGAACACTGTAGTTGAACGTTACCATCCTATACAGAGTTCGACCCAAAACCTGCATAACTACCGTCATAATTTCCCTTATTTCGACCCAGCCACTCTTATTGCTAAATATTCTCGGACACTACTTAACAAGCCCCCAAATCCGAGCATGGTTGAACAGGAACGTAATTAAACTCCAAATAAAAAAGTTGAATGGAAGTAGGAATCACGACAAGAAAAGCGTTAGTATATTTAAGATATTTACATAAGATTCTAGAGTCTTCTCCGAGTCTCTCCTATCATTGGTTAGTTAGGAAAAACCAACCAGCGTGCCCCATCACAATACGATACGGGATATGCTTTAATCCAATCTATATCCCCATAACAGCTACCAGCAACTGTGTAACTTGAAGTATACTAATCAAGTTTTCATTGATAATGAGCAGTCAGGCTTTCTGACTTAATAAATTTTAGTTAACTGAATGAAAAGAGATAAGCCACGACAATGTGTACTATAGATTGCCAGATATTACTTAGACAACTGAAATGCAGTTCGATTCTGCAGCTAACCGTGTGAAATCCTAGTAAATTCATCACTTGTTACGTTTTTCTACTTTGGCAAAATGAACATTCAGCTTCCCTTGTAAACTGATTTATCATTACCATTATAAATCGCTGTTTGTGAGCTGATTTAATGTGCTAAATACACTATCTTATTAGCTAATCGGAAATAAAGCTGATAAGACCGATTGCCATAGTTTGTCACCAATAAAGAATGGAAAACGGAAAATTGAACCATTCCAAAACTCAAAAACTAGCACAATAAGTTAGGAAAGCAACTAGTGAAGTCATAGAGACCTCCCCACAATACACTTCAAAAAACTGTGATGAACGAGTTACGGATCAAAAGAAAGTCTAAACATTCCTAATTTTCAGAAATCTGTACTGTATAGACAAATGCATGAGAACTAACACTTAGATTAATGGAAGTAGGACAGATCTACCGTAGTAACTAAACTTATGATCATAAATGCCGAGAAAAGCTTATAGTTAATCGATAGGTGATGAATAACCGGTTGGTTAGTTCAATGTTACCCACAATGAAGTAGGACTAGCAAATGATATGAGCACTACGCGTAAACTCATCAAACCCCCAGGTTGGGAAGAAATAGAGCTTAGTCTGACAATACCACGTTTAGACAAAACTTGAAATTATTCTTAGTCGCATGAATATGAGTGGACTATACCACCATCACTTATGTTAACCATAATATCTCATGTTTATCGAGCCTGACAGACCATAACTTAACGTATTTACTAGAACTATAATGCAACACTTGACTTATCGAATGTACGTTGTAAATCAGTTTGAAGGCGACACATTAACTCGCACGAAAAAATAAAAACTTACTTCGTCAAAAAATGTCTGCGTTTTGCGCAAAATCTGCTTCAGCTCAGATAATTCCAGGTATGTCTTCTTTAGCTTTTCTGCGCTTGAGTTCACTTCTTTTAGTTCGTTCTCTAGTTTCTCAAAAATACTTTCCAAGTCGATAATTTCACGTGGGGCCGGAGCTTCTGGATTTTCGCCAGTGTCCAATATCGGAAATTTATCTTTTTCGATCTCCTTCTCCAGGAATCCTAAGTAAATGCACGGATTTAGCGGAAAAAATTACTTAGTTTTCGCTCCATTTCATCACATCTTCGAACCTCATTTACAAATTTTCTCTGGAAGGCGTTGGTACCTGGGACAGTCTATTACTATAACACAAAGAGACCACTAGTTACATCTCGAAATTGCACCAGCCCCAACTCCCCTAATTCTGATATGCACATGTAGGCTATGTCTGTGTGTAGAAACATCTGAGACAGTTGCATTTCTTCGCTCCGGAATAACGAACCCATCTTCAGTTACCAGTGAAAACGAAACTAGACTATAAGCGCTCGACTTTGACCTTGACGGGAGTAACGAATTTTCGTAAACTAATGTCTCCGAGATCCTATTTTTGTACACATACTGAGCAAACACATTTAGGAATTTAGCACAGTATCAAGCCTCAATAAATCATTTTTATTGCCCACTCGCGGATGAGATCACTGAGGCCACGTGGCAGGCAACCCATCATCAAACTCGATCAATCGTTTTCTAGTTTCCGTTTATCTCATGTTCATGTTTCTTTTAATTATTTCTATTGCTTCATAAACCAAGGCGTCTAGTACTCTACTTGGCACACCAAAATACTAGTCTCTATTATCGCGATAAAGGGCAGTTACAAAGCTTTCTGAATTAACAATAATCGTAACCATTTAGCACCACTCACTAAATCAGAATGTGCGGCAGACTTTTCTGATGAAGAAGTGATGAAAAAATTAATATCTTCCAACAATGTGGTTACGTATAGTTGTAGAATTGTGGTCTACACAGTCTCCATGAAGATACCCCTAAAGATGTCACAAGTATTTTGAGTATGAAAACACCTTAAACAGTAACAGCTTCTGTAATCAAGACGTGCGAAACTAGTCAAATAAACATTCAGAAACGAATAGGTTAGAATATATATTTCAAAGGATATCGATATATCGAAAAGTGATAACTCTAAGCTGGCTAACGGTTGTAGGGGATGCGAAGCACAACGTCCACACTCGTGATCTAGTACGGGTGCGTGACCAAACGCCTTCAGCTAGGTGAGTTAACTAAAGCTAATGAGATCAGCATCAAATTTTGAAGACTTATAGAGCTGTCGATTTCCGGAATTTATTTACAGCCACGCCCCCTCCCAAAGCTAAGGGATATTTACTGTCGAACATAAGGTGTGCTGAACGTAAAGTGTCAGGTCACTAGCCTTAGAAAAACATCAGACAAGTCGACATGTCCCATCCTGTTTAAATTTAGCTATTGTTACGATGCCAAATAACTTTTCAGTTCTAGTAAAATTATTAGCTCATTGATTTCATCCAAAAGCATGAAAGTCACTTCAGACTTAACACCTTGTTGCATCGTGTAGGAGGATGTGAAGCATTAGGATAGCATGGTCATGTTACAGTAAATAACCAGCTAGAGACAAATTCTAATACCGTGAAAAATATCAAATATCTAGAACTAGATGAGTCTAATGACTAGTAATGTCTAAATCTGATATACATTCTGACCGATACCATATAACGTAACGACGTTGACGATTCTAGTCCAGACTGTTAGCACAGTAAGTATTTGAATATGAGCCATGTGACAATACACGACCGACAAAAGATAGCCTAAATGGAATTGAATTTATCTCACAGAACACTACTAAGACACCATGAAATTCTCCAGCCCCTCCAAAGAAGGGCGGATGGAAGAAATCCACGACATCAGATAATGAACAGACAAGGCTCAACATAACTGCTCCATGGATCTCCCCTCTGAAATCAGGTGACCTACCATCAAAATCTCTAAGTAGTCAAATTGGTGATAGGCACAAGCTCAATCAACTTTCGAAAACACAGTCTGGTAGTAGTTATAAATATTCTAGTTACACTGCCCATCCACTAAAGTCTAGGACTATTAATGAACATGGTAATAACAGATCTCCCACACTCTATCTCTTATCCCCAAGACCAAAACCGTAATCACTACAGGTAAGAAGTTTGCCAAATTCCATAATACTAGCCCACTAAATAAAAGTGGCTCCTTAGTATGAAAACAGACAAAATCACTCCCAGCTATGAACAGTAGATCCTCCCCAAGCTAACATCAATCCAAACAGTTGTAACCCAATCCACGAGCTTGACTGTCAGTAATACATTGGAGATGTCGTAACACTGTACGATCATCCTGTAGAGGATTTTTTGGATACAGCCTCTTGTGGCATCTCTCTTGAGGCACCTAGATCTTGTCATATAAAACCACATAAGAAATATAAACTCTCTTCTTCCGTACAACTTTAATTGGACAATATTACCACTCCCCCCTGCTGGGTAAACACTCTGAGTAAATTTAATTGCTCATTTGATATATCCTCTCCAGACGCTGTACTCAACGAAACTGGCCATCAAACAGCAACCAATCTCACGCTTTAAACCTACCTCATGCTTCTGAGGGTTGAAGAGCTACTTTACTAGAGATACACTTGTAGCGGCATTGGACCATAACCACACAATCCTCAAAGCTGAACACGAGACTACTCGGAAAATAAATATTCACTATTTGACGCGGAGAAGTACCTAACGATGGAAAAGGCGGGAAAAATGGGTTGAATTGATCGGAGTTGATCGGATGATATGGCTGGGTCATGCAGGCGTGGTCACTGCGGAATGCTACCTTATAACTTTTATTCATGTTGAATATACATTGTTCTTTATCTAGCCTAAGCTTTTTCTCAATCACGTATCGGTAATTGTTACAATACAGTGAGTTGATGTAGACGATGATGTGACTTCCACGTAAGATCTTATATATTATGCAATTATATCATGACAAATCTACAATTTTAGGATTAGGTCTATTATTACAGCAGTACTAATATCATATAAAATCATAAATCTACACATTCACCTACCTTAACTTAATTGGCTACTTGTTGAATATACGTCTTATCAACGCTCGATAGATCTGCAGTAACAAGCTATCCTCCACATACTCAGATGAAATGAAGTGTAATCACTAGTAATCACAGTTGGCTGCAAAAGCTCTATAACTAAACCTTCTGACCACTGCTCAGAAACATCACTCTCTGATTTGTCCAATCCTACTTCAACTATCCCTACATATCTTCGAGATCACACATCTTTATCCACTCCGACGACTACCACATCTCCTTACCGAGGACAACCAGTTAATTATGAAAGACCATCTATGAATCTCAACTACTTAAATACCGAACAAAATAACTCTTCACACAATAGATTAGCTGGTGTTTTATACGATTTCATTATCTCTTCAAAGTTTCCTACTGTTTTGTTTATTTCACACTCTTTAATTACAATTGATTGATCACTGTGTGGTGATCAATGTCTTGCTTGTCTAGTCCTTATTAGTGCAGATCGAATGCTATCAATCATGTTGCAATGTGGCCACCATTCTAGGTGACTCGACACTGCGTGCACTATGTATTGAGATTTAGATTGTGGTTGGAGGTAGTCAACAGGACTGTTGACTACCTCCAACCACCATCTAAATATTTCACACTCAATCAGCAACAAGATGAACCATCTTCCATCCCTAGCCTATTTTGACAATCACTGCGTCATTAGATCTACTGAAACATGGAGCATGCATAATACCTTCAACTTAACACCATGTATTGTCAGTTAAACAATATACCGTTAAAAATGAAATATAGATAAATGTAGAAGCTATATAATATAAGTGCGATCTGATATTTTCTCGACTTTGATCTGTAACAGCATAGGTTGGTTGATTAAGAGTTGACCTCAAACAACCAAGCATATGCCAAAACAGTATTGTTCAAGTATTCATTCACTTCCTTATTTTGTATAAGCGTTATATTCCTTATTATCTTATATTGAATGTTGAAAGCCTTTGTTTGTCTGAACAGATAATCCCACGCTCCACTGTGACTGCGCTAAGATCGAAATAAAGACCTATTCACTACTTGTCTGGTTTCTTCTATCAATAGCACGAGGGTTACCTGTAGGCACGAAAGATCTCCTCAGTAGGTTATGTTCCTTCTTCCTTAGATAAACTGATTCGTTCAAAGAAGTGGTTCGACAGTGTTGTAAATGTTGTGATCGGCTTCTTAGATTATTGTTCATTATAATTTTTATGCAGTTACTGGCTAACTAGATTATTATGTATATGTATTCCATTTAACGTAAAAGTTTTACTAACCCATTAAATACAGTTATGCTATTTGCTATTCCTGAAATCTTGCCAATTTATTACTTATAGTCTCCACCATTCACAGTAATTCTTAGGTTCCTAATATATAATTGCTTTGTTCATTGTATCGTGCGACGAGGTTCAATATATTTGTGAATAATCTATATCTACTTGAAATCGCAATAGCGAAGATTTTTTACCACTTTCGGACACTTGGAAAAGCATACAGAGGGGTTTGCAAATAATGGACCAACAAGAACTTGTCTTTTTGTCCAGGGTCATTAGTGCTAATCGGGCATACGACTGGTCAATTTGGGAACACTTGGCTGTTATGCTGATAATAGGCGCGAAAGAAGTCAAATTAAGATTGGGATCTCGGCGAATGATGTGGCATGTGATAATGATCAGTGGTTTCAAAACGTTAGAGGCATAAATGGGGGAAAGATATACAGTATCGTTGCCTGGATATACAAACGTTCATAAATTCTGGATATCGTTCTGTGCAAGAAATACATCATTGCAGTTGACCATCTATATAAATGGTAGCGAAGCAACCAATATATATTTAGGTGTTATTTAAAGATATGTGAGACCGAGGTTATATGACCCATTTTTCATACTGTCAGTTGAACGCGAAATGACACTTAACTCGTTGGTTTAACGGTTAACTTGGGCATTTTCGTTAAAAATGTTGAATTTTTATGAACTTCATAGCTGCAAATGCATCTGTAGAATTATGGTATTATTATTGCTCTAAAAATAAACCTAATCCTAAACTTGTACATTTGTCATGTAACTGCCTAATCTATATGATCTTACGTGGAAGTCATATCACTGCCTGCACTGACTCGTCGTATCGTAACAATTACCAATATATGATGGAGAAAACATTCAGGTTGGAGATAGAACAATATATTTAGTAGAAGTAAAAGCTTGTTGTACAGAGCTACCACGCCTGATAGGCTAAGCCATGCCACCCGATTAGTTAGAATTATTTGGATTCAGCTAAACGGGGTGCATTAAATGAAAAGCACAAAATTTCTGAGAACAGTCGAACTTGCCTAGAATTTATTCGTCTTATTCAATACGATATATTTATTAAAACGTGGGTTTGTAGGAACTGCGGGAAGA